CTAAACTATTTTACTCTCTTAGAGAAAAATTTCATTCAAAAAGTAAGATGACAATCAATTTCTCTAAATCCGATGATTTTTCATTTATACAAAGTCCTCCGTTCTGAATCGCCGAGTGAATATTTTATTCAAAATCGAAGAACGAATCTGCTGTTTTCAACCGTAGTAAAAACAATTACGTTCCAAAGGATCGAAACGTTCACTCGTACGAATTCGGAATCTACCTCAAGCTTGAGTGAAACATTCACTTTTACAATCCTGAATGTAGACTAATGTAGATATAGACGGCGTTTTCTCATCGGACGTTTAAAGACAAGATATAAAAGATAATTTATATCTTGTAACGATGCAAACATCCGCACCTGCCTCACCGACCATTTTTCAAGTGTAGTCTTCGCAGTCTATGTATACATCCATGCACAGAGAGAACGATTTAGTTGAATCTAACAAATGCTTATTTGGAATAGTCCAAATAAATTTTTTGATTGATCGAACGAAGTTTTGTTTGACGCAACAAAAGTATTTTGTTGCAGCTTAGTTCCAACGAAATGTTTTTGTTGCATCAAACAAAACTTTGTTCAATCAATCAAAAAATTTATTTGGACTATTCCAAATAAGCATTTGTTAGATTCAATTAAATCGTTCTCTCTGTGCATATAGAAAATTTCTTGGAATCTAAGTGAAATCTATTTCAACTTTACAAAATCTACACGTACATTCAGCCAAAGAAACGTAATGTTTCAAGCACGCGATTCTAAATGAGAAACTAACTTTTTCCCATACTTTTTATGGTCTTTATTTTACATTAGACTTTTGTTTTCTTTTCCTTTTATTCTATTAGATACAATAATTAGTACACAAATAGGAGATTTCTCTGTTTGACGTTATAAAAATATATTGACTCTCTTTCCCTCTCTCTCTCTCTCTCTCTCTCTCTCTGTTTGACGCTTAAAAAAGGCGTGAGTTTCTACAGTATTTCTGTTTCAATTCTAGACAGGGAATGCGTTTGAGAAAATTCCGCGGAAATTTTTACGCGGGTATATGTCTACGATTCTGAACGGCAGTGTTTCCACTTGGAGTAATTTTCATTCGTTTCATGTGAAATCTTACCTCTCGAGATTTAGAGAGTGTAAAATACGATCGCCGGGTGTCGCGCAGCTGTTAAGCGATCTCGTCGCAAAGCATTTACTTATACAGCATACATTGAAATTCGACAAACAAACAGTTACAATTAATTAAGCGGAAAGCCGTGGGAGGAAATTTCTTGAAAGCGGAGCCGGGAGGAGAGCAAGTTCGCTCGACTATACCCCTCCGCGAGAAGAGACTCGACGTGGACGACGTCGCGGCGCCTTCGGTGACGACCGCATTTGTCCCGGGCCGCGGGTTACGTCAGCGGTTGCCGTTAATAATATCGCGGCCGCCTTGACCCAGCCTATCGATATATCATCGCCGGTCGCACGCCTGTGATGTAATCCCGCCGTAAATTTGCCGCCGTAGGGGAAAAAAGTGGTCGCGCGGATCCTTCTTCCTGTCTCGCGAATATCAAAATTCATGGTGCGCGGCGCTGCGCGGACCGCCAGATTTGCAACATTCATCGGCGATACGTGTCTCTTCCGAAACGCGGCGCATGCACACTTTTACCATAATTTACGGCGAGGCGTTGCCCCATATGTTCTCGAGGCTGTGAATTACGGACCGCGCGTTGCGCGCAGCGCACGTGTGAGGGTGCCTGCTGGCTGCACGCGGCGGACTCTGCAGCATGCGTGTATGCATATATACGTACACACGCACACATGTACACATATAACACACACACACACACACACACACAACATACGCGCGAGCACGTGAGAATACACGCGTGGAATCCGTCGGTTCCAAGCGCGGAGCTCGGTAATGGAGTCCATATCTTCAAAATTTAACCTGAAAGCTTAGTACTTCGCGGAACAGAAGGGACGCTCGTATAACGGTTTATCACGCACGCAATAGACTGGCTCCTCGCACTGGCTCGCTTTGTATGCTACTAGGCTAGCTAAGAAACCAGCCATACCGATTTTACGGCTCGACCTCTCGTTTGATCGTCAACGAGAGGACACTGCATCGCCATACAAGGTATCTCGCGACATGGGGTCAATCTTGTGTCCGAATAACAAAGAGCGCATGTCGATCGCGACGAGGAACGCGTTATAAGGTAAGCGCCATTCCTCGTGGCTCTTCATTGTGTCTACTGTTTTGAGATAAACCAGGCAGAGTATCGAGGCACATATATGGAGAAAATATTGTAGTAAAAGTTAATTTGGTGTAGCTCAATTTTACGAAAGATGTTGTAAAAAAGAAAGTAATTTTAACGTAAATTTTATTAAAATATTTCCTCCGCATCTCTAAGTCGGGACGTTTTTATCAGTTTGGTCTTTACTTAAATACTTAATATTTAAGTTTTCAACTCAGTTTCAACTCAGTTTCAAATCAGTTTATATATATATATATATATATACAAAATACATTGAAAGTTGTAATACCTGCATTTAAAGGCTAAAACAATAAAAATGTCCAGAATTTGGGCACGCATCCCGTTATTAGTACTTTATTTATTATCGCGTCTTTCCGAGATGCATTGCGACAACCGCGTCTGTTCAGACAGTACCTTATTAAAATCCTCGATAGTGCGTTTCAACGCGTCGTCATTTCACGAACGAGAGTATCGAGTGATTAGTCGGCGCGTATTTGCCATATCATTACCGTATTGCGCATTTAATCGTAACTTTGATCGAGCCCTGGGATGGAAGATTCATCTCTGCGAATGACGATTTTGCGCGCTACGATTGTGCAACGGAAGGATTCACGAATTTATGGGAAACGCGACAAAGCGCGCATTTACGTTACATATCAGCATGATAAATCTCCCGACCGCGCTTGCCGAAAGTTTCTCGTAATCCAATTAAGATTTTCGCGAGACCCGTCCTCATCCTTTCACATCAATTACGGCGACCCGGGGCGGACCTAAAATTGCGGGCGATTCTCGTCGCTAAAGTCGTCGGAGCGTGCTCGCGCGCGCAAGCGAGTGAGCGGTCTTTTTCGACGACGAAGTGAAGCCGACGGGAACGCTTTTTGCCGAAAGAGCCTTGGGCTTCTTCGTCAGTCAGTGGCCGTCGTTAGAAAGGGGTTAAACACATCGGAGGGTGACCGACGATGTGATCGATCGCCGAAAGACCGAAGAGGCTCGTCGCTCACTTTTACACGCACACATGTGCATGTGCACACACATGCGTGCGTGAGTGTTACGGGATTACATACAATCGTGTCACGTATGTTCTTGTGCGTGAAACGCGGAAATAACAGAAACAGTCGCACTGAGGAAGGGAGAATCTGTCCTAAAGCGGGATCGTTCCACCGTGTTAGCGGCAAAATCTACTTCTGAATCGGAGGAAATTAAATTATTCTATACGAGATGTTATTTGCATATTTTTGGCTGCAGATTTATCGATAATAACTCGATTTTCATCGTTTTAAATTTACAGCAGTCCCGAGCGATTTATAGCTATTTATCTGGATTATCTCATTGATTATCTTTTGGAGAAGTTGAAATTGATATCATATTTCTTGGCAGTCTCGACAATTTTAACATGAAGTAAAATGAATATCTCAATTATTGACAAAGTAATTTCATCGTGAAAATATTAATTTAACAATGTACATGTTGAGCTAGGTGTCAAAACTGATTTTGTTGCAAAGCTAGGAAATATTTTGGATTTTAATTATATTACATTTTTGTAATTTATGGAAAGATTTTTATTTATTTATATTATTTTCTCAGGATAAATTGAAGTATGTAAATTGAAGTATTATTTAGTGACATGACAGTTTGAGGAAATTAAAAAATAATTACTGTATTGATCAGATAAATAGACGTTCGATATTTTAATCAACATTACAAAGCTATGCTTGTAATTGTAGAGCTTTAGCATTTATTATGCCTTTTAATTTTACTCGAAACTCTTGTTACAATCGATGATATATAAAATTTATAAATTTTACTCTATAAATTTATTATAAGTTTATTCTAATTTTATTCCGTAAATTTATCATCTCCTATCGAAGTAATTGAATTTTAAATTTCACATAAATATCATCAATCAGCTTTTACTGCGCTTTTACTACTTGATTTGATTGTAGAGAGCTTATTTTATCAACATATAATTTAACAATATAACACATTTTAACACGTTCGCGACAATCAATAAATTCATTGGTTCACTCTAAAGGACGCACAATTTATTTTTTAATATATTGCTTCTTTGCGTTTGTTTTATAACAAAAGGCTTTGCTTTCATCTTATTCAATGAATTTTTCATGAAAGAGATGCACTGAGTGTTATAGAAGAATTCAGAAAGAAAGAGATAGCAAAGAAGCCAGGGCCAAGGCATCAAAAGTTGTTATATTTTGTGCAATGCTTCATAGTGTGTGACACGCACGCCCATTACGTAATATAAACCAGTGTGACCCACCAGTGGGTCATGATGTCGCGAACGTATTAATTTAATAATATAACATATAGTTTTGTCAATTTTGGGGTAAAAAAACACATAATTTAGGATAAATACAAAGAAGCTATATTTACTTATTTTTCTAAAGAAAACGAATTCAATTGTTATAAGTTAAAACACTGCCACTCATTGAGATATTCATCTTTTACCTCGATTATTAAACATTTAAATTTCCTTTAAGTCCCTATCCACAAATAATCGAGAGATGAAAGAACAAACAGGCACCCAAAAATAAATAGCCTCCATATTACAATAATTTATCGAAAACCGTGGAAACTATGCGCAGGCTGTAGCAACTTTCCGCGCTTTAATTCTTCCGACTTGGTCGCCGATATTTCGTTCGGGGGAGGGAGGGGGGAGCGAACGCGGGACTTTGCCGGGGATATCCGTAAAAGGAGAAGGGCTAGTATCGATTAAGGGTGGCCGCGCTAAACGAAACACATCGCTTATACTTGCCTTCGGTGACGAAGACGAAGATCGATGCTGGTTTGGTGTTGGAGGCGCTGCACGTGTAATTGCCCGTGTCGGACTCCACCGCCTGGCGAATCGTCAGCCGGCTTTGAGTTGGTCCTGGATCAGTTTGTACGATCACGCTGCCGCGCGTGGTGTCGTAGTTTATCATCCGGTTATTGTGATACCAGAACACGTATTGCGGCGGCGTCGGACTCTGGAGCAGATAGAAGAAGAATGGCGCCGGTTGACAAGCGTGAGATTTAACGCGCGGATTTCTCTAACAACACAAAGGCGGTGGTCGCGGCGACGCACGGCGACGGCGACGTCGGCGTCGGCGTCGGCGTCGGCGTCGGCGTCGGCGGCGACGAGTCGTTGGGCCCGCGCGCGCGGCCCGTAACATTCGTTATGAGAATCTCTTTTGGCGGACAACGCCTCTTTGTGCTGGAAACCATGGGCGCTGGCCTGGGGTCTCCCTTTTGCGGTCTCTCATTGCTCTCGTTTCTCCGGACGAATATCTCGGAGAGATCGCTATCGAGTTCTATTAAGTTCTTGATATGCGTTAATTTAAGGCTGTTTTAATTGATGTTCGTACGCCGCAATATATAAACAGTGCCCAATCGGCTTCTGTTGTTTGAAATTACTCCTTTCACTCGAAAACATTACGCAAGGATACATTCTCGGGAGATCCCGACAGCGTCCACTACGCTGCATTGTAAACGTTACATGACATCCGAAGTGCATTTTGAAGTACGAGGATGCCCTTCATCAACCTGAGATCCGACACGAATTAGAAACTCATCGATATTCGACACGTATACAAAGCGGTCTCGAAACCGAATATATATCTTAATGAATGCGCAATCGTTAGCAGCTGCGTCGTATTATTAGCAACGGGAAACATAGAGGTCTCTTGTTCTGAACTAGACTCTCGGAGAGTCTGGAGCGGAATCTGCCGCTCAAACCGACACCAAACAAGGCTCTTTCGTAATTCGGGGTTCTAATTGAAGATTTTTTCATTAAATCGTGCCTAACGTTAAAGTTGCCGAGCGACGCGTGAAACGATCGCGCGCAGAAGGCGTGCTTTCGGTGAAGAGAGATCCACGCGAATCGCTTGAAAGTTCTCTAGCTATGCACATGGACGTGCGGATAATTTGGTATGGCGTATATACGCGTGGTAGTATACGTGGAGGTATATGTCGAAGTAATTAAACATCAACTTGTGGGAGTTTAATATTTGCTTTCGCGAGTACTGACTAAATGTGCAAGAGAGAAATTGGTTACAAAAACGCGAGTTTACATAATGCGCGGCTTTCGTTGAATGAGCGCGCGCAATTCAGCTGCGGCTGCGAGCGATGAGGCTCATCAACCGTTTATTATAACGCCGGATACACGCTTACAGCGGTCCTGTCGTGCCATAGAATACAGGAAGGATAGGTGCGTGAAACTGTATGCCGTTAAGGCAGAATATCCGCGGACTTCCCGCTTTAGCGCCGTCAAGAAATTTGCAATATGCCATGACCGAGTAACGCCAGCGAGTCAAGTAAAGGGCGTAAGGGCACCACGATAGAAACATATAATTTCGAGATTCTCGCACTTCAATATATTTTATATTTTTGTTTATACTACGTATCGCCAATGTCGTTGTCGTTCGTTTCTCAAAAATACTTCGAAAAAAATGCACATTTTATTATAATTTAGATATCTCTTTTTGTGTTGTAACTTTTTACGACAGTTTTATTATTTTTTCATCGGTATAAAGAAATGTAGTACTAACGATTCTTGCTGAAATTCTACAGTTATTTGTGTTCTATAGTTATATGGGCAGAAGTCGCGTTTACAACCGACGGACGAAATTTTCAACAATAATGTCGTTACTTTGCCTTTGCAAGTCTTTCTATCATATCTTGTATATACACGACAACGGAATAGAAACTATACTTTTGTCAAAAGTTATAGATTAGTCCTGCTGTGGCCTATTTCAGCTCACAATTTTCTAATCTTTCGTTACAGTCTGTTACAAATCATCTCTCAACTCTTGAGACGTGCCTCTATGTATTTTTATTATGTTTCTTTCTTCTTTTGGCATATGATTCTCTTGAATCTTATTTGAAGATTTTGATGCCAGGAGACGGCAGCTCGATGTTTCCAAACGCGTCTAGCGACGCATACTAATATATATCGTAAAATAAAATTTTAATTTTATGAAACGATACACCGTAGACTAATGCAACGTCAGAGACGCGAGTTCTGCTTGCGTGAACTCCGTAAACGAAGACGCGCACACACGTCAAGAATAAGGGAGGTTCTCATTTTCGCATTAATGTCGGACAGGGAATTTACTGGAAATGCGACGATGCGTCTCGCGTGACGTTTCAGTCGATAATCTTTAAGTTTACTCAACAAGTTAATACATGAACGCTGACACGTTCCGTCTCGTTACGAGTTAGGCATGGCATATCGTGTGCCACCGTCAGGTTTAGCATATACGTCTTATATAGTGCATACATTTCCGCCCAATGTAGTCGCGAGATCAGATATGCAGGATGCTGCTCGTCATCCGTTTATTGTAACACAGGATACGCGTATATTGTGGCGGCGTCGAGCCGCAAAGCGCAGGAAGAATGGACGCGCGAAACCGTACGCAGCCAAGTGCGGATACCCAAGGATTTTCAGCTTCACGGCGTTCCGACCGGCAAAGTGAACGTTGCCGGGTCGGAGGCCATGCATTCCTCCGAGCTAAATGCTCGTTCTTTCGTTCCGCTTAAAGCTCGTCGAGCCTCCACGAAATATTCACTATGGTGCACCGACGTCTGTGAACGCGAATGTCCGCAGACGCGGTCATCGCGTCGTGTTATTATCATTATCACGTAGAGTAAGCGAGATGGGAAATGTGGAAATTAACTATGTCCTGAGACATAGCAAAGTTCTCGAGAATACGTCTGGAGTGCAAACGTTAAGGTAGTTGCCTCGTGAAATGATCTCCTCGGGAATTCGCATTGACTTGGATTACAAATCGAGTCAAATCGAAATATCATCCGGCTGCTTGCTCAGTTAGAAAAAGACCGATCAGTCGAAAGTTAAGACGTATTTGCAATTTAGTTGACATCTCTTTACGTTCTCTTCTCTTGGTTGTATAAAATCATCGTTTTATTTCTTAATATCTTACCTTTCTCTGATTATATTTAAAGCTTTTATAAAAAACTATTATGATATTAAATATTGATATACGAATATTATGTACCAAAAACAAATGAAAGAAAATTAATTAATTATTATATATCATATTTTAAAACTAATTGAATTTTACAAAATTAATTTGTTACAATGTTTGTAAGTATAACCAAATTTATGATATTTTTCACACATATATATACTAGTAAAATATATTTTTTTATTTTATTATTTATATCAACATTTTATTAATTATAATACAATTATAATAAAATTATAATAAAATATTAATAAAATATTGTAGCAATTTTAAGATGTTAAATATCTTAATTAAATTATCCATTTCTTTTTTTCCCTTGTATGATCAAATATTTTGATAATATTATTGCAAGGCAGCTACTTTAAGGTTAATTTTCTTAAGTATCTTTAACTTTTCTTTGAACTATTACTCCATAATTATTTTTGCATGTATGGAAATCGACATATATTAGCTTTAATATTTGGTGCTGTAATTAGAATATTTTATCACCCGCTCTCATCGTATCGACATATTCATGCATCATGATTGTTGACTATTCAAGGAAATAACAACAATGTTTCAACTATCAAAAAAGTAATATTTGCAACGTAAAATATAAAATCATGTCTAAAAAAGTGAAATAACATACGTTGTTTCACAAACAACGATGTTTCTTTGCTGTTGAATAATTAACAGTGATAATGCATGAATATGTTGGCATGATGTTTATGACTTGAAAAGTGTTGCTAGACATTAAAAAGCTGTATTATATCGTTTGTACAAGAGTTTATTTTTCACTAATTCCAACCACTAACATATATACACATTCGCCAAGAATATAATTACCGAGCTTTTGTTCCCTCGATATGTAATTCACGAAACGTAATTCACGATAATACGAATTATATTCACGATAATCGAACAGATCGTCGCGTCAAACGTTTCATTTGTCTCGTGATTTACAGAACCATGTAGATGACGATATATTTCCCGCACTTTTTTTCCGAGAGATTGGACATAATGCATTTAAAAAACTCTTCCTTTTCTTGCAAGATATTTCAGCGAATTATTGCGTAATTAACTCGGCGACGCCGCGTGTTGGGAGCTTTTTGAAATATTATGGTCGATTTTACGTCGCTAGAGAGAGGGGGGAAGGGGGAGAAAGAGAGAGAGAGAGAGAGAGAGAGAGAGAGAGAGAGAGAGAGAGAGAGAAAGACGAATAAATCCCTCTGAGGCGTTGTATGTAATTCACTTTGTGCTTTTAGGGATTCATATAAATTATCCCATTGTTCTCGCGAGACGACAAAGTGCAGTTTCAACGTGATAATACGAGTTACACGGTGGAAGAAAGCGAATTATATCAGGCAAGTAATACAAACTATTAGCATCACGCTAATTGCACCGACTTATCCTATAGAGGTATGCATAAAGCGGTATGCATGCATAATGTAAGACGGGCGATGGTTTTGTTACGCGAATGCGGATTACGATGTCAATAAAACGATCGTAAATATTTGACCTTAAGCAAATCCTCTTTTGCATAAATTTACATTATAACCACGACAGCAGAACAAGTATAATTTGCAAACAATAGGATGAGTTATTAATATTTTATCGATTGTTTTGATTACAAAGGAAGAGTACATATGAAACTGCGCGGTGGCTAAAATTAATGTGCACATGTACATAAATCAGTAGATTTCGTAGTCGAGTTTTGTTGAATTTATACCGCGTTGTACACATATTTGACAAATTCAGATTAATCGATACTGCATTATACTCATGGTATTTAATTTCCGGTATTTAATAATAAACAGACATTGTTTAATATTTTCAACTATCGGACGGACTTACATACGCCACATATCACGAACGTGACGTTTGTTCAATATAATGATGATAACAGTAATAATAGTTATTGATAGACTACAGGAAATATATAATAGGAAATATGCAAAGTGCAAAATATAAGAGAAAAATGTACATAAATGCAGTGAGCATCCTACACAGAAAGATATATACTG